ATACAGAGGGATTTACAACCCACCAGTAGCTCCCCTCCAACCACCCGCTAAATCAATGAACAATTCGATTGATACAACTGAATCAATCAGTACTCGCCTCGTACAGCTGATCGAACGGATACATGGCAGGATTATCGATCGGTCACATTGACTATCCTATTAGTGTATCGACTGAGAGTCAAACGGGCCAGACGGATTCCAAACAAGCAATGGATCGAACATGTCTGTTCAGGAAAGCAAAACTAGTATCTGTGCGGTATTGAGTCTTCGTCATAATAGCAACATAAAGACCCATGGGTCTACATCTGTGCCCCCCTCCAATATGATGTGGGAAAAAGAAGGGGGGGGGGGGGGGGGGGGGGGAGGGGGGTTGTCATGAACAGCAGTTGCAACATCTTTATTTTAGGAGCGAACATTCTAATGGTTGGACTCTTGTTTCTCAGTCTTAATATTCTACTCCGTATCTACAAATTTAAATTAAATCTTTTAAATTTGAATAAGGAGACGAGGCCCAACACAAAAAACGGTCATTGAGAGAGGGATAAAAAAACAAGACAAACTGGCAAAAAATACAAAGAGAAATAAAAGAGAGACCTCCCAGTGGCGCTCTCCAAACATTCACTTTAGTAAGGAGTAAGGAGAAGCACATTGTCCCAAAGAGGAAAAATTCGTTTGTAAGAGCAAAATGAAATACATCGACGTAATATCGGTCATTTAGTGCAAGGGGGGGGGGGGAGAGATGAGACGCACAGACAATGAGACATAAGCAACGTACAGGAAAATAATTATCTGAGGCACCCTCCAACCATTAACTACCCCAGTGCCGACCAGCCCAACGAAAGGATTTATTGTAAACTAGCGGTCCCTATTTGCCAGTAAACAGGATATTGAACACTAAAAATTTTGTCCGGTAGAAGGTGGAATTTGAAAGTAATGGCTCGATTCAAGAGTATTCTCTAACGATACCAGAGCGATCGAAACCTACAATTTTGTCAATTCTTAAGCTCAAAATCATGAGAAACTGGCACAGTACCGTTTTTTAAAGTAATATTAAACGCTGCCTTCATTAAATTTTTGTGTCCTGAAGAGCGTGTGGTTTCTACTGATCAATTAGTAATTAACTCTTGCGAGACGAAACAGTGCAGCATCTTGATCTTTTGATTAATTTTAGTACTACTT